AGTAAAGGACTTGAAACAATTCAACTTTGGAGGAATATAAAATCCCGTCAGGGCTCCTGACAATAAAAGCTTATTTTAACGGCAATCTGAGGCAGAAATATAGGAAGCATAGGAACATCCTCGATTTCATAAAACAAGGGGATTATGACAAAAAATGTTTACTCAGTACTTAGCTAAATTAATATCAAAGTGTCAACGGTCACAAAATGCACTTTTGCAATTCTAAAGGAGAAAACAACTTTATGATTGGAGAAAAAGGAAAAACAAGGTAAGCAGTCTTAAAAAATGCTTTAAAAAAAATAAAACAATGTAACCTGATTCCCTCCCTCTCTACTCATAAAACATAGGTTTCCAGTTATGATGGGATCCTAACTCATCCCAATCAGGAAAGCAAAGAAAAGGGAATTTTAAAAAGTCAGACTTCTGCCTGTTATCCTAATATAATTTTTTTGGTCTAATATCCAAATATAACTACATCAAGTTTGCTCTCGGGTTTACTACATTCAAGGATTCAAGCACTCAGTCCCACATTCCTTTATAATCTGTTTACTAGCAATCAATTCCTTTAATAACCAGCATATATAAGTGACTGATTTAGATGAGGTGAGCGGATGCCTAAAGGAGGGAGTTCATAAAATGAGAGAAAAAGAGTACAGAAAGGGAACACTGGAAATACCTAAGACACACAGCTTTTCACAGTTTTACCTAACAGAAATGCTTTGTCCACTTTCAAATATATCCAGACAAGTATTAACAACAATAGCCAGAACTGCAAAAGCACATACCTTAGTGGGACTTTCACTTATTAAGAGTATGATGTAATCCATCCTGGTTTGCCTGGTTCATAAAAATATGTTTTAATACAGTGGACCTCATTATAAAGGAGACTGTATCCCAGAATACTGCTTAGTCAATGCATTATTATAATTACACAACTTAACTAAGACTGGCAGTAAGAGATCTTAAAAACAATGCAATTGTAGCAATGGCCAGTGTTGCTCAGTGGGTAGAGCATCAGCCTGCCCACCAAAGGGTCATGGATTTGATTCCTGGTCAAGGGCATGTACCTGGGTTTGCAGGTTCAATTCTGGGCCCTGGTGGGGGCGTGTGTGGGATACAACCAATCAATGTGTCTCTCTCACATTAATGTGTCCTCTTCTCTCTCTGTGTTTCTCTCCTCCTTCCCTCCCTCCTTTCCACTCTCTCTAAAAATCAATGGAAAAAGTATCCTTGGGTGAGGATTAACAAAAAATAACAAACAAAAAACAATACAATTTTAACTGTAATGCGATGGTAAGACACTCCTTTCTACAGATGCACAGCACAAGAAAAGTTAACAAATATTACACCCTGTTACAACACTTTTTTTCAATGTATTTATTATACCATATGGTCATAGCGTCCCATCTTATACCATATGGTCATATAAAGACAGTAATATCAGGGTAATATAAATGGTCAGAAGTAAATGTTTAATGCCAAAAGTATAAGCACATTCATTTGATAAATATTTAATAAGCTCCTGTCATTTACCAGAATATTCTATTTTGAGCATCTACAAAGTAATACTTACAAATATAGGACATGCAATTTATTTAATTCCCAACATACTTTTATGTTTAAGATGTTTGATAACAAGAGTAAAAAAATTAGAAACAACCTAATATCAAAACAATATGTTTAGTTTAAATACTGCAGTATATCTAATGATAGGTAAAATATTTTGCTTTAAGTTAAAAATATTATAAAACCATATATGTTGTATTAATATGAGCATGAAAAAAAGTACATGGATATATGTATATCAAAATGTTTATGTAATTAATTATATCTTAGTGGCAAGATTACAGATGATTTTTTAACTTTTTGTACTTATATCATTCTAATTTTTCAATAATGAATGTGCTTTCCCTCCGTAATTAGAAAATTTTTAATGCAACTGAAATTTCCGTGAGAAACATTTTTTAAAAAAACTTATATTTTAGCCCTGGCCAGTTTGGCTTCCCCTCTATCTGAAGATAAATGGAAAAATATCCTCAGGTGAGGATTTAAAAAAAATAAAAAGTTATATTTTACTGTCAGGTAAGGTACATCTTTAGAATAAAACGTGTCATTTTACACAAGCACAGTTTTTCATTTCTTTCCATGCACGTGGCAACTAGAAGATATCTCTTTAAGTGAATATAAAGAAGACAGTTCTTGCCCTGGCTGGTCTGGCTCCGCGGTTGGACCATCAGGCTGCAGACCAATGAGTCTTGGGTTCGATTCCAGTCAAGGACACGTACCTCGATTTCGGTTCGGTCTCTGGCCCTTGTCAGGGTCATGAGGAGGCAACCAATCGATGTCTCTCTCACATCAATGTTCCTCCCCCGCCCCATCTGAAGATACATGAAAAAATATCCTCAGTTGAGAATTAGGAAAAAAAAGTATAAAGGAAAAACTACTATTCATTATTAAACATTAAAACCTGGGTGAAGGGGACAGTGGAAAACACTTCTAACTAATTAAAATAAGTTATTCCACATATTTATGCATTCACTGTTTGTCTCGTGTATGTGTGTATGTGTGCCCTGACCAGGAATCAAACCCACAATGTTGGTGTATGGGGATGATGCTCTAACCAACTGAGGACCTGGCTAGGGCCACTAATTAAAATTAGTTAAAGTATCCTTAGGGTTTTAAGAGATATAAATATGCTTTCCAATTACTGGCAATTTAAATTTAAATTCATCTAGCCTAGAGGTTCTCAAGCACTGATACATGAGAATTGCCCAGGCAGTGTGTCAAATGCAGAAACTCATGGCTCTAGCTCTCACCTAATCAGAATCTTCGGAGGGTAGCATTCAAACAATCTGGCCCTTTCAAATAAGATAGCAGAGATTCTACTTTACAAAAGCCTTCTCTATATCAATGCAAACTGTTCTAATATCTCTGAAACAAAGTTCTCAATATAAACAATGTTATCATCAGAAAATTACAATTTCATAACCTATACACACTAATTTATCTATTCTTCTAGATACAATTCAACAACACTATACATGCACTACAGTGTAGAGCAAGCCTAGAGGCACCTGTGCCTGGTAAGACAAAGGCATATCCGATTCATGGAAAAAATAGACAGCAGATGTGACCCCTAGTATTTATCCATTAAAAACAATGTATCCTAAAAATAAATTTCCATGTCAACGGAACAAAGCTGTTTATAAATAAGAAGGAATGTGGAGGTGTGGGGAAGACAAGAGGAAGCTTCAGCAAGTTAAGTACCAAAAGCCAGGAAACAAGGCAGAATGAACGGCAACTGGGGACAAGGAAAACAGAATAAACTACTAAATGGAAGAAGGGAAGAGCTCTATCCTTAAAATCCAAGAAATTGAGGAAAATGAACAAATATTAGAGAAAACAAGTCTGAGCAAAAATGCAAAGTGGAAAATGGTATAATTTTGTTAAGAAAGAAGAAAAATATGAGAAAATTCAGAGTAGATCAAATGATGGTACAGAACACATCATGGGCATAGGTGGAGGTGGTATGAGAGAATGAAAAACAAATAATGTGAACAAACTGATATTAATTAGAACAAGCATGGCACATGAATTTCCAAAGTAAGGATGATGAAGCAGGGAAAAGAATTGCATAGACAGAGGAAAGAATGAGACGTTATGAGAATTGGGAAACGAAATGTAACTAGTAGGAAGGAAAGAGAACTTTGAGCAAAGTCAACAGAGTAAGACATGTTATCTAATCGATAATCGTAAGGGACAGTTGTTATAACATATATTATCTCATTATTTGGAAAGTATCACCAAGTGAATTACTTTATGTAATAAAATGCCCAATACTCAATGTAGTAAATTTTACGTACTAAAAAAACACAATGTAAATAAAGTCATTTGACAGGGCGATGAGAGGCCGAATAATGCCCCCAAAAACAGACTGAGAGAAGCAAGGGCTAAAAAGCAAAAAGTGAAAGAAGAACACTGGGACGGAAAGAAAGACGACAGAAAGCAATCAAACCTACTTTTTTTTAAAAAAAAACGGGTAGGACTAAACAGAGGTGTGAATGGACAATGGAAGAAGCACCAAAACAGTGCCGGGGTGCAAGTGAAACCTGGGGGAACCTGACAGCTTCGGGATTCCGAGAGCGAGGAGCTCCAGAGCGCCCAGCAGGTCTGCGGAGCTAACAATAGAGAACAATGTCAGGGAGCGGGGGAATGAAGTCGGGGGCCTCAGGAGGTGAGGGAAGTGCAAAAACGGGCTCAAGTGGAAGCTGAGCTCGGAAGGCCGGCCGGCCGGCGGATGGGGACGGGATGGGGCACGGAGCCCGGGCACACGTTGGCGACCGGGGGCCTGAGACCGCGATGAAAGGGGCAGTGGAAAAGAGTGGGGTTTCGGCTTGAAAAAGTCAAGAGTTAAGCAAAACGAACCGCTGGGTAAAACAGGTGAAGAGAACCCCCCCCCCCAAAGTAGAGAAGTGGAAGCGAGGACGGCGGCCTGGAAAAGGGGGCCGGTCAGGGAGAGGAGAGAAGGAAGGATGCGCCCCATCATCCCCACGGCCATGTAATAATTAGACACCACAGTAACTCGGGCTGGGCGCCCGGCCCCGCTGCTGGCCCGCATCTTGCACCTGGATGCCCCCCCGTCCCCCCGAAATAACGAAACCGGCTCAGGGATGCCAGCCGGCCACCTCCAGCCAGCCGTGACCTTCTGGGACCAGCCCGAGTCTCGCCCCCTATTGAGAGCCTCCTGCCCCACCACCGCTGCCCGAACCCCCAAGCCGGGGTGCGGGCCAGGGAACCCCCCGGGCCATTGTGTGTGTTTACGTAGCGAGGAGCTGCATGACGGAGAGGGACCAGGCGGGGATGCCCATCTCCCACCCGCAGAGCCCAGAGGAGAAGGTGGCTGAGGGCACCCGAGTCCCCAGCGCCACCTCTTCCCCCCAGATAAACACCGGCCAGCCGAGCCCGCAGACGGGAGGGGTGCAGGGGGCGCCGGCACTCACCTCCTCGGGGATGGCAGGGTCCGCAGCCGAAGAGGCCGCGGCGCCGGCGCCGGCCTCGGGCTCCATGTCCCCGTTGAACAGAGCCTGGCCCTGCTCCGCGCCGCCGTCGCCGCTCAGCGCCGCCATCTTATAACCGAGAGCCGGGGCCCGAGCGACCGCTGCTGGGCGGGGAGGGGGAAGGGAGGCGGAGGGCGGGGGGAGGCGGAGGCGGGGGGCGGCGGGGGGCGGCGGGCAGCGACGGCCGGGGCGGCGCCGGCGGCGGGAGGGCGCCTGGGCCAGCTCAGGAACCGGCCCGCGGCCCCCGGCGCAGCCGAGCCTGAGGGGATTGGGGGAAGGACGCGGGGCTGGGGGCGGGGGAAGGGGGCGGAGACCACGAGAAGTCGCCGCGGCAACGGCGTCACCCGCGTGTCACGGTCGTGACGTCACCCGGGTGCGTGACGTCATCGCAGGAGCGCCCTCGCCTGGGGAGGCTTCCTTCGCGCGCGGCCCGCCGCGGCGCTCCCGGGGTTCCTTCGTGCGGCCGTTTCCATGGCTGCGGCCGCGCGCTCGCTCCCCGGCTCGGTGCGGAGCCTGCTCCGTAACGCGGGAGCCGCCAGCGGAGCCGGGGAGGTGCTGCGGGACCAGCGGAGATCCTAGCGGGAGGAGGACGGGGAAGCCCGTAGCGCTGTTATTTCCTGCACGGCCGGCGTCCCTGCTGCCGGAGCAAGACTGAAACCCCGCGGCTGAAACAGCCCCGTAGACTTTGACAGACACGTACAGGCACCGCCAAATAAAGTATCAGAGTGATGCGAGTAGCCTTTCCGTGAAAGGATTTGGCCTGTTTAAAGTGGGACTAAATGGACGTCTAGAAGTTTTTTTTGGGTTTGCTTTTTCCATCGTTGGGGAATAAAAAATGTTTCCTTTTAGAATATGTTTTCCTCTTCCAGGTTCATTCATTTAACAAATGTCGGTGACAGAGCGCTTTCCATGTGCTGGGGCCTGCACAGGGCACAGAACGTTCTCGATATTTGAAACATCAGAATTGGAATCATTTCTGTTTTGGAGAAAGCCATTCAAAATATTTAAAATACTTTCGTGCCTTTCATAAACAGAACATTCCGAGGCATTCTTTGTGCAAAATATGCGTGCAAACCATTAAGAATGAAGAGCTGAGTTCCTTTTGAGGGGCCCAATGACAGAATGGAATGAAATAAACCCAGTTCATTACTAAAAATACATTTATTTTAAAGGAAAGGGGGAATATTAAGAGGTGGAAACAATTTAAGGAAGGGAGCAATAGAAGTGACAAACATAGTGGAAGTTACTGAGGCTGCTGATGGTGGAAGTTAGTTGCCAAAGGAACCTAGACATCAAGTCATGAGAAGCTCTGAGTGGACTCTGCGCTTGTGTACTTCCCATGAAAGGGGAAGTCACCAGTGACCTCCTTATTGTGTTCAGGATGATACAAGAGATAGAAAGCTGTCCTACTGACCTCCAAAGCAGGATGTCTGCATATTGATAGAGTCACCATGAGCCCGGGAGCTGGCCCTTACTCCAGGGTAAGTAGTTTGTGAGGCTGCTTGATGAATCAGAACCCTAATATCCCTTGACATCGAAATATACAAAATGCAACCTATTGAATGAGCATGGTATGCTTTGTTAGTATCATTATACTTTCTTTTCCAAGTAGGAAGATCTCCTTGAGGAACTAAATTTAAATCAAAAGATGGCTTGGAAAAGTAGAATACATGAAGATGATCATAAGGGATAATGCCATCAAGAGATAGTCTGAAGTGTCCCTCTTTATTATGAGGACATACTTCTAAGCAGACTGAAATAGCACCATCAGCCAGTTTGCTTTCATCAGAAACACAACTGGCAGGTTTTTAAATTCACTAACAGTTTTATTTCATTTTTTTTTAAAAATCAGTCTCTTCAAATATTACATCATTAAAACACTTCCTCATAACGTTAAAAGTCCTAAGATTATTTTTTCATTTGTTCCATTTTAAATTAGAGCCTTCCTTACCAGCAACTATCTGTAAATCATATTTTACATAGTTATTTCTTCACAGAATGGCTGACATCACCCATTTAATATCGCTTTGTGTTAGCTTCCATTTATTCAACGCTTTCTGATCTTGTCTTCAAATTCTGGATTTATTTTATTTTATTTCCTTAGGCCATTCTAAAACCCCACAGTATCCAGAGGGGAAAATATAAAGAAAGCTTAAACTTTGGAGTCCAAAGATCAGGATTTTAGTGTCAGCATGCCATACCTTGGCTACATAACCTCAAAGCAGGTAAGCTCAAATCTCTGTTTTTTTCTCATTTTTATCTATAAAAATAAGGGTGGTAGTGATGCCAGCCCAATCTACCTACCTATATCATTAGGAGGATAAAATATTATAGTTTTGCCTTTTACAAAATATGAAGTTACCCTCTCAGTCAGAATTCAGACAAGGCATAGAAGAGATGGCTTATCTCTGCTCCATGATGTCTGGGAGCTCATCTGGGAAGACTCCATGCCTGGAGGGTGTCTCAGTGGGCTGGGACTGGAATCCTCTGGGGCATATTTCCTCATATGTTTGGTGGTTGAAGCTGGGACTTCACCTGGGGCAGTCAGCCAGAATACCTAAGCATACTCTCTTCATGTGGCTTGAGCTTCCTTGTGGCATGTTTGCCTCAGGGTAGTCAGACTTCTTGCAAGGTGGCGAAGGGCTCCAAATGCTAGTGTTCCTGTAAGCAAGGTGAAAGCTGTATTGCATTTTAGGACCTAGCCTCCAAAGTCACACGGCATCACTTCTGCTGCATTGTACTGGTACAGATAATTCACAAAATCCAGCCCAAACTCAAGGAGAGAAGGTTTAGCTCCATCCTGTCAAAGAATTTACAGATATGTTTAATTTACAGCTAGGTCATATTTAGAAAATGAACTGGCTACTCTGCAGAGATGGCTACTTATTGTCACCTTCTCCAGAGGGGATTCTATACTCAAATTCTCCCCCTTTGGTTACTGGATATCACCAAGATATCCCCGTATGCTAATGAAGAAGCCCTTACCTTCTTTCTTTAGCTTCTAAAGCCCCACTGCATGCAGAAATAAATGTAGGTGTTTGACCACTGAACACATCCTGTCTCCTCCTGGGCACTTCCCCCAAAATAGAAATGCTGCCATAGGCAGGTTTGAGGTGCCGAAACCCCCTACACAAAGCAGTTGCACTGTGTTCTTGGTGCCAAGCCAGTTTGTGTCCTGAGCAAAAAGAGAAAGCACACCTCCCTTTGTGTTGTAGTATGTCATATTGGCACCAAAGCAGTATTATCTTGTGTTTAAAGTCTAGCAGGCATTTTAGTCAACTCTTTTAGGTTTTGCTCAAATTCCCCTTAGGCATCCATGTATTCACAGGAAGCTGGAAAACAAATCTAGGTGAGAAGCACTGTTGAGAATACTGTGCCAGCTGATGACTGAGACACTGCTGAGAAGTCTTGCTGATAGTCTGACCCTCTCTTCCCTGGAGATGAGTTTAGTTCGATTGGCATTTCTAATAGACACTGGATAGTTCTACCCGTCAGCCAGACCTATCCAGCTCCAACCACTTTCAGTGATGTATAGCTAATAACAGCTTAATATTTTATGTATGAATCAAGGTCATCATTACAAATACCACATCCTGTATTATTTAATAGATGGGCACTCTCAGAAGCTATTTAGGTGTGAATAGAAAATTGAATCATAGTTGATTCAGCACAACCTTCCTTCTGAGAGACACTTGAAATCTCCTCTGTGGAATCCCAGACTCTATCTAAATCCTTTCGTGATGGGGACTTCACTAATACTGTGCATTGAACTGTAATTATTATTTTTTTCCTGAAGTTGAACTGAAGTTCTCTTCTTATGATATCTATATTCTGGTCCGAGTTTTGCCTTCTAGAGGAGCACAGGATGAGCTTATTCTATGTAATTGCTTTAAAATATTTGAAGGAAAAAACAAATATTTGAAGGAAGTTCTGTTTTCTTTAGTTCTCAAAGCATTTTCTCTTCTTTCTGTGTACTCATTTCAATGTTCCTCTAAAAATGTGTTTCTATGAATTAAACACTGTTCCAGATTTGGTCCAACAAACAAAGAATAGAATCTCTGATTGCAATAACCTAGAAACTGAGTTTTTGTTAGTATAATCAAAGACCATATAAGCAACTCTACCTGATTATTGGTACATATGAAACCTGCAGTCAACAAAAACCTTTGTGTTTTTCAATTATAAAACCCCATTACACCAAGTCTAGATTTTTAGTCTTTTTTAGCATCGTTGTCATCTCCTTTACTGAACGCACATTTTCCATACTTTTTAATTCTTGAAGGAAGACCTTGCTATTAGATTCATGAACTGTGTTAGAAATATTTCTAACATTTACCAAAAGATATTTATATTAGTACGTTATTTCATCTTATAACATCTTGCTTATACTACCCTTGGGTGTGTTAACAAGATACAGAATTCTTTGAAATGTGCTTTGTGGATTTAGTTATTTGAGGCATTAATTTTTTTAAGTTTGCTTATATTGCAAGATATAGTAGACTACATACAGTATGCTACCTTTTTGTAAGAAACTAGGGGAAACTGGGAACTGATAAAGGATGGGTAGAATGGGGTGGAGGAGAGAAGGTGGAAAGAGACTTTCCTGAGTATATCGTCTAATATAGTTTAGGAGATATAAATAAATGAAAAAAGCAAAATCTAACAAAATGAACTTAATTGTATATCAAAGTAATAACATAACTACACAGAGAAAATAATAATTAATTCAAATCGCTTTTGAATATAGTTTTCTGGCTACAGACGATCATAGATTTACACTGTGTCAAATGAGCTAAACTGGAACTTTCCCAGAATTCTCTTGCGTAATGGAAGACCTGCTTACCCAGTCCTTAAATATATCCCCGGAGAGGGTCCAGAGCAAACTCTTCACCACGGCTGTAACAAATGCGTTTGTGAGGGTGACTCTTAGAGCAGCAGCTCTCCTCTGTGAGCCAGAAATGACAGTAACTGCTACTATTTTGATGGGATACACGTTTAAGGGTGTGGCTTCTCCTGCAGGACCCCCTCATGGAGTTGTGATGACAGCTGGAGGTAGTGAGTCTGACTTGTATGGCAGCCCCTTGCATTCCAGCTCCACCTCACAGGTTGCACTTTATCCCTGCTTGTCCCATGTCACCTTCACCTTTTCTTCCTGACTATTTGCCCTGAGGATTTTAGGTTCCAACAGCAGCCACCAGCCTCACATGGATGTTTGAAAAGCTCCACTTTGCATAAGATCAAATCCCTATGAGACCTTCCTTATTATTTACAT